AATTCTTATTCTTTTGGATCTTGGGTCAGTCACGATTCCTCAGGAAAACCCTTCTTGATCTTCTCTAACTAGATCAGATCCTTATACTTCACTCTTATGATGCCATGTGCTACTTCTTTCTATATATTTTTTACAGTTGGAATTTTACATTTATTTGTTTCCCTATTAGACCCTTAACTCCATTAGGGAGCAAATTTGTCTATTTTGACTCACAGTCACATCCCAGCACTTAGCCAAGTGCCTGGTACATAGCCATTCTCAGTGCAAGATGATTATTTGTTCAAGGAATGAAGAATTGCAGTGTGGTCTGTTTTAGGATGCTTCAGTAAATGTAGCTCAGGTGTGGTAGACTGGTAGAGATGTAAAGTGGCCTAAAGCCTGCCACAATGAGAAATGTCTCTCTCGTGCTCTCTCTCTCTCTTAACAAGATTCCTACGTTGTGACTTTCTAGGCTTTAAGAAAGAATACTTAATTAAGCTCAGCCATCATAGTTAACAAACTGCTTTACAAAATAAGCAAATTGAGACCACCACCACCATGATGTTTAACTGAATTTTAGAAATTGATATGAAGGGATCAGTGAGGTACCTGTCAAAGCATATTTAGAAAATGAATTCTGTGTTGCTTGTTCCTTATGTTTTTTCCTCATGATTTGTTTTCATGTCTTTCTAGCACTCTGATCTACAAATTTGGAAGAACTGAAGAGCTGTGGACCTGAGATCACTTCTTAAATCACATTTTCCTTTTGTTATATTCTATTTGTAGATAAGTTTTTATCTCTCAGTACACATTGCCAAATGGAATAGATTGTACATTAAATGTTTCGTTTTACATTTTTATCCCCTGAGTTTTGACATAGTTTTATGAAAACTATTTCTGTCCCTTACTTTTCATTGAATAGATTGTTAATATGTACACAATACAAGACTATATAGATTGGATGATGAGTATCAGTTTTTTATTCCTGAGACTTAGAGCTTTGATCTGTTCTCTGAGCCAGGGTTGTATCATCATGTCATTTTAGCGGTAACCACTCTTTCAGTATCTCTAATTTCTGAAGATGTGCAAAATATATAGCTCTATATATCTGGAATAAGCACCGAGCCATTAAAAAAAGGTATTTCAGCAAGTTGTAATTTATTTTGGCCTAAAATGAGATTTTTTTAAAGGAAAAATGTTTGTCTTATGTATTAAAGAAATGGACTTTTATATGAAGATTTTTTAAATGCCTGAAGGACTAGTTTGAATGCCTCTTTTAAAAAGAATTCCTCTAATATGACTTTATTTAAGATGGGATAATACATGATCAAAATAAACTCAGTTTTTTATGGTTAATGTAAAAAGACCGTAAGGCAGCTCAGCAACATGCTTCTCATAAAAGCAGCTTAAATTATCCACAGGGGTTATCTTGACAGCCTGCCATTATCTGACGTTACACAATTCAGTGGCAAGCATATTTGAGACAACTGCAGTTTAAAAGCATGAACCATATAACAAAAAGTGGAATAAGTAGTTTAAAGATAAAGTACTTCTTCCCAACGGGAATTATTATCACCTAGTGAAAAATTAGGCATTTCATTCATTTAGTTATCAACTACAAGTCTATCTTCGCTCTAGCTCTCAAGCTTTGGGTGAACATTCCCGATAAATATATCTCCAGCCAATCAAAAACTTCTTTTACTGAGTTTGAAATACTGTATTTGCACTGTATGTATTCCTGTGGGCCTTGCTTTCCTTTGTTACACAGATTTTGTGTTGCACTTTTTTACCTAGAGGGATGTGTTATGGAATAGCCTTTGTTGTAAGACAGAATAATATCATTGGTAGTAGATGCAGCTTCTAATGCAAGCCTTATTTGGCACCACTTCTCTCTCGGAGAGGACTTAGTGGGCACAGAGTATGAAGCAGTCGTGGAATGCTGTGCCTTTGTCTAGATACCACCTTGTTTGATTACTTCTTTCTTTGTTGTTTTTTTTCCTTACAATGTCAACAAGCTGTGTCTTGCTTCTAACATATTATAAGACTAATTACTTGTTACCACTCTCATAATGTGTTGCAATAAATATTACTTCTCATATATTCTAATATTGTTAAGTTTGTTGGAGAAAATGAACCATAAAAATTGATATGCTGTTCATTTTTCAGTCACTCGAGTATACTCAGTCAAAGAAGAAGTTTATTTTTATAACATAAAGAGAAATAATATACTCAGGTTTGTAAAGGTCAATGAAGGGTTTTCCTGAAGACTGAAAATGGTGGCTGTTTTTGTTTATTCTTGACTCTGCCATGAATGTGTTTTTTAATTGTGAGCAAATCGTTTAATTTGCTGTTTGTTTCCCTATTAAAAAAATAATATTAGTATCCACTCTTAAAGATATTATGAGTGAGAAAAGCTAGAATCTTTGGTAATCATTTAAAAATACTTGTGATTCCTTTAATAAAGGTCTCACTGTCACACACTTGCAGTGGCCATTGAATCTGAGTGTCTTTTGTATGTGGACCAATATTATCAGAGCATTCTATTTTGTTATTCTATTTCTATAATTTTTGTATTTCTTGTGCTATTGCCACTGATTAAAAAACACAGAGGCTGCTGAGCGTGGTGACTCACACCTGTAATCCCAACAGTCTGGGAGGCTGAGACAGGAGGATTGCTTGAGGTCAGGATTTCAAGACCATCCTGAGCAAGTGTGAGACCCTGTCTCTACAAAAATAGAAAAAATTAGCTGGGCATGGTGGTGTGCACATGTAGTCTAGCTGTAGATTGAGGCAGGATGATCTCATGAGCCCTATTTGGGGTTGCAGTGAGCTATGATGATGCCACTTTAGCCATGGCAACAGAGCAACTCTGTCTCAAAAAAAAAAAAACAAACAAAAACAACAAAAAAATCCACACAGAGGTTAGATTTTTCCATTATATATTTTTTTCTGGAAATATGACATTGACATGCATCAACATACTGAAATTCAAAGACTGAAAGATTGATGATATCAAACCATATAACTTGGCCACTTGAGCAAAGCACCCCAAGAGTGTTTGACATAGAGTCATTGAAGTCATCATGTTCTCTGCATTTTTCCCTATGGAAGAGTTTTCAATCATAATGTCAACCAAGGGGCATTTGTTTTCTTTGCTTCTTTTTAGATTTAATTGCTTCATGTCAAATAATCTCTGCCAGTCTTATAATTTTATCCCAGTACTTCCTTGTACTCTCCTGTCATCACATTCATTTTGATTCTGTTTAAAGTTTCTGAAAGTTCAGGGCTAACTTTTAGACATTTTAATATCAAGTAATATCCTGTTAAGCCCTGGAGGAAAAACATCTGAGGCTAATTTTATTCCACTCTAAACAATTAGTCACATTTTGTTGTTAAAAGATATTCAAGGTGGATCATTCCTTTGCAATCCTAGCACTTTGGGAGTGGGAGGCAGGGAATTGCCTGAGCTGGAGAGCTAGACAACGTCTCTACAAAAATGCAGAAAAAAATTAGCTGGGCATGGTGGCTGTATTCCCAGGTACTTGGGAGAATGAAACAAGAGGATGGCTTGAGCCCAGCAGTTTGAGGTTGCAGTGAGCTATGATGATGCCACTACACTCTAGCCTGGGTGACAGAGCAAGACTTTGTCTCAAAAAAAAAAAAGATTCAGGCAGGACGCGGTGGTTCACGCATGTAAATCAATCATAGCACTCTGTGAGGCTGAGGTGGGTGGATTGTTTGACCTCAGTTCTAGATCAGCCTGAACAAGACCGAGACCCTGTCTCTACTAAAAAAAAAAAAATAGTAATTAGCTGGACAACTAAAAATACATATACAAAAGATTAGCCGGGCAGGGTGGCGCATGCAAAAAAAAAAAAAATTCAAATTAAGGCTGTGTTGTTATTTCGGAGAATTCTCTTTGCTGTATCATCTGCTCAGACAGGAAAGATTAGAAATTGAAGTAGAAATTATTTGAATCACTTTGTTGATTGTTATTCCTTATTTCTCTGACTGAAAACAAAGGAATAACCTGATGAGTTTGAAAGGTTCAATGCTTTTCTGAAGAATTACTGAAGAAAATCAGGACATGCTTATTTAATCATGGAGTCATTTTTTACCTTGAAAGAATTGTGACACAATTTTTGTTTTCACAACCCATCCCCATTTTCCTAGAAATAGTCTTTATTATATTTTCATGTTATTAAAAATATACTAATTTGTATTTATAGTCTGGTGGTTTAACATCTAAAGAGTCTTCACATTTTTTTATCCTCCTGTCTCCTGAATTTTATTATGACTAATCCCAAACTATTTTGTTCTTTTTGAAGGAAACCAAAATATTTCACTCCAAAATATACTTCCTTGACATATTTCAAGTTGGCTATTCAGAAGGGCTAGAAATATAAGAATAGCTGAGAAGCTGTCTTGTGGGAGAGATTTGCATCTGTCAAGAAAAATACACTGAGATAGCCAGGCTTTCTCTGAGGCCCTGCTCCTTGTCTGGGTCTAGGAATGATTAACTGAGACTCTGACACCTTAAGACTCTGAAAGAAATATTTACCATCTATTTTCTCTGAGGGCTGCTACCGGTGAGCTTTCATCTATCTAACAAGACTACATTTGCTAGCCATTCTCCTCTTCTCTCCCTCCCATAACTTGTCTTGCCACCATAACCTTGTCAATGGAAAAACAAAACTGTAAAATATTTCAGAGAGGTTTATTCTGAGTAATATGAGTGAATGTCGCCCAGGGAAAACGCAGACCCAAGAAGTGCTGAGAAAGTGCTCCTTAGGTGGTCAGACTGTAGTTCTGTTTTATATGTTTCAAGGAGGCAGAAGTTATAGGCAAAGTCGTAAATCAATGCACGGAGGTTATACGTTGGTTTAGCCCAATAAGGTGGGATATCATGAAGCGAGGGCTTATAGGCCATAGGTGGATTCAGATTCTTTAATTTGCAGTTGGTCAAAGGAATAAGGCTTTGTCTAAGACTTGGAGTCAGCAGAAAGGAATGTTTAAGTTTGACTTTCACAGACATTAGATAAGTTTACTGATCATCTTGTGATGCTATGCCGGAGTCAGGCTGCCAAGCCACAGTATACGGGGTCAGAATGGCCTGGTTAGCAAGACGGCTGCAGGCGTGGTTCTCCAGGCCCCTTAGGAAGGAATTTAGAGCAAAAAAACGGTGTTCAGAGTTTAGTCCTCAACTTGTTTTCAGCCATGCTCTGAGCCCCCTTTCTTTCTGTAGCCTTAACTTGGTATAAAAGCATGAACCATCTTCCATTTCTTTGAGGTCTTAGTTCGTGAGACTCCCGGGTACTTTAATAAATTTGTATGCCATTTCTTCTGTTAATCTGCCTTCTGTGAGATGATTTTTCAGCAAAACCCCTGAGGATGAAGGGCAGGTTTTCCCTTGGCACCAACATCTTTTCTCTTTTCCCCCATACCTTAAACTTGCAGGCTTTCCAAATACAGTCAGTTCTGGTTATTCTTGGTAGGTTGGTCCTATAAAATCAAGGTGAACACAGAATTAGTAAATACTGAACCATCGTCACCCTTGGAGGGCAGAAAGGGTTAGGGTCCTCAGAGGGTCACCACGTTGTCCTCAACTGACCAATGGATAACCTTGCTCCATGTCTGTTTTTCTTTAAAGACACATTTAATATAGTTGACTCGTTAATATTGAGTTAACACTATAACTCATGCCTGAATGAATCTTCCCTAACACGCAGATTTTCTCCCTAAGGCACATCACAGATTTCTTGCACTTTGGAACAATAGCACTTCGGCACTACCTTGGGGGCCATTTAAAATAGCAAAATCACTGTTACCAAACCCAAAAAGGGACTGGCCTCAGTCCGGTTGCTTGCCACACAGAAAACCAATTACTGAGGCAACTGGTAGTGCCAGGTGTATTGATAATTAATTTTATCAATCGCTGCGCAGACTTTTTTCTAATTTAAGCTTGAGCCGCAGGACATACCGCCACAAGCCACACCAGTTTTACTTACATTTATTAAGGGGGAAGAGAAAAAGAGAAAGTAAGAGAAAAGTACCGCAGGGGGAGAACACAAAAGAGTAATCATACCACTAGGACCCCATTATCAGCACCGGAGGCTAATCCTCACAGGCAGTCTCAACACCGGAGGCTAATCCTTAGGAGCAGTCTCAGGCAGCCGTAAAGGCAACAACATGCTGGGATGTCAAACAGGCAGCGGCATGCCTGAGAGGTCGGATAGGAAAAATGGCGGCCCCTCGGGGGCTTTTCTATGCTGTTTATATAGGGATCTGAACAAAGGAAGGCTTTGGCGCCAAAAAGGCGTATGCTCTGGTCTCATGAGGTCCCGGATCTGGCCAGGAGCCGGGGCCTATAATGACTGGTGTCACATAACGCTTCTGGGCAAGAGCCTACGATAAACATTCCTAGGCAGTCCCGGATAAACATTTCCAGGCACATAGCTCAGAGCTATGGATTCCTATTTCCTCAAGAAGTGGCCTGCTTCTCCAGGGAGTGGGTGCATACCTTGAGCCTTATATACTTATGTGACCCCAAGCAGGCCTTAATATTCTGTACCTCAGTACACCAGGGAAGAAAGGGTATTGATGTATTGACGTCAGCTGGGATATGGGAGTTATAGTTCAAATCCATTTCTCCACTGACTAAGGGCAAAGTCTTTTATTATTTTACTTTTTTTTAAATTTTTTATTTATAATAATTATTTTTTTCTTTTTTCACTCCTCTGGCAATGGACTGATGGAGGGCAAGGTCTTTTAGAGCCAGCTGTGGAATGCAGGTCCGGTTGCATAGGGCTGAAGTCGTGAGGTCTGCAGGTGGTCTGATTTAAGAGTCAGCTGTTGGTGATGGATAGTGAATCAGGAAGTCCTGTGGAGAAGTTACTTAAGCAAGAAGATTACAATGTTCTGCTCATTAGGCTTGACTGGTCTGAAAGACAACAGAAATAACTTAGGGAGGGGCTCATTTTACAAGGCCGATTACAGCAAATGTGACACTACATACACCATGAAAGGGACACTTGTTTACAGCATGAGAGCTGAAACAAGGGAGCGTCATCTTGTTCACCTCAGCTCATCAGGTGACTGGAATTATTCTCTGCACATATCCTGGAAGGATCAGAACAGGGGTTGCAAATAAATGTTAGCAAGTAGACGAGCTCTCAAATACAGAATCTGTCAGTGACAAGGCTTGACTGTAGCTAAGGGGCTATTGTTGCTCTTATTTCCCTCGCATAGAGTGTTTTGTTTTGTTTTGTTTTTGAGACAGAGTCTCGCTTTGTTGCCCAGGCTAGAGTGAGTGCCGTGGCGTCAGCCTAGCTCACAGCAACCTCAAACTCTGGGGCTCAAGCAATCCTCCTGCCTCAG